CCGCTCGCCGCAGGAAGCCCGGCCGAGAGCCCTGGCTGGCGAAGGGGGCACTGACCCCCTCCTCGTTGACCGACGGCTGGGAGAAGGAGAAGATGTGCTCCACGGGGGGGTAGCCGCGGTACGCCCTGGGGCTGACCAGATCCTGGGGCAGGTTCGGGCTCTGCTGGGCGATGTACTCGGGGTTGAGCTGGAAGGGCGGCGGCAGCCTCTTCTCCGCGGTCACCTCCACCGCTCCCTGCGGGTTGAAGCTTTGGTCGAACTGGTAGACCTTCTTCGTGACCGACGACTTCTGCTGCGGCTGCACCTTGACGCTGCCGTAGGTCAGGAGCTCGTCGTCCAGCATGGGGACCGACTGGCTGCGGGACATGCTCAGCATGCCGTGCTCCGGGCCCAGGAGCTTGTCCACCCTCTCGTGGGTTCCTACAGTATCGTTACCAGATGCATAGTTTTCTAAGGGTATATTGTACACTTTGTATGTACCGATGTCTATCTCATCGATACTTTGCGACTTCTTAAATTTGTTAGTTTTTAAATCCCTCATCATCGGAGAAAGCCGTTCCGTACTCTTGCTGATCGAAATAACGCTTTTGGAAGGATCTGGGCGACAGTGGAGATGTGAAAAGACGTTTGTGAGACTTCTGTTGGCATTTGAATCGTGGTACTCCCAGGCTATTCCCGGCGTGAAAGTGCTAGTCATTTCAGGAGACTCTTTGACGTGATCCTTCCGCTCAGGCAAAGGGCTGGTGGTGGGGGTGCTTTCCAGTTTGGAAGGAAAAGCTGTCCTGTCTTCAAAAGGACTGGGGGTTCTGGTCCAATTTTGCCAAGGATTGGGAGGAGGCACTTCAGATTCGTGAGCGTTTCTGAGCGTCGGCTGCTCCAGCTCCAGGGGAATGCCAACTATCCGGTCCTGTCTGATCAGCGGCCTGCGTGCGTGTGCGGATGAGCTTCTGGATTTCGTGCTCAGGAGGGGGTTGGCACCGGGATTCTCCACCGCGCCCTCCTCCGCCACGAAGCCCGTGTTGTCGTAGTGCGAGCCGTCATTCCAGCTGTCGGCGAAGTAAAACGCCTGCTATTGGAGCACTTCAGCAGCAACCAGAAAGGAGCAATTATAAAGCAATTTGATATTGTCCCGTCTGGCTCTGCGACCGTACTATGAGACGTGCACCTTGTGCCGCTGGTTTGGCATCAGCGGCTGCAGTGCTTTTTTGCACTGGAGTACAGATTCTCCTGGAGTACAGAGAAACTAAGAAGTCAGCCAAAAGTCCTCGATGGCTCACTGCCATGCTCACGTAAATCCAGCCGAACACGTTCTCCTGCTTTAAAAATCATCGTCTGTGAGTGCAAGGAAAGATTTTTACATTTACATAATTTTTTTTTAAAAAAAGGCACCTGATTCAGTTTGTGCACGTTCTCACCACCAAGATTTTCTGCACTCTGGCCCCTCTTTGATGGGGAAGAGCCTGTGGATGGGACTGCGTGGGGTGACTGATGGCAGGAACAGCCAGGGCAGAGAGATCCTGGTACGGTACGAGCGACCTCAGGCTGCCGATGGCCAGGGCTAATTACAGCCTTCAAAGAACTGTGCTGTTCTTGGAGGTCCAGGGCAGAGTGAGGCTCAGGACAGCGACAACACGAGAGACACGCTCTGCTGTCTACGCTAAACCACAGCCAGCTGCAGCTCAGGACCACACACAGCAGAATAACTGCAGCTCCATTCCGAGGCGCTTCCACCGCACGTGGCTGAAAAACCAGCTGCAGAATTAGTGCCACGCACAGAGTATGAACGGGCGGCCAGCTCTGCGCAGCCTGGGCTGTGCACATCTCCATGAAACTGGGGCAAAAAGGTTGTGGTTTTTTTACTGAACGCCTTGACGGACAGCACACCATCACTTGGAGTGCAGGTGACCACACGCAACGGAAGGCAACCAGGAGCTGGGTTAAGAAAGATGATCACACCTGTTCCCCCACAAAGAGTTATTCACTGCTTCTTTCGCCGTTGTCTGCAGGGAGCCCATTTTAACATGCGCGTTGGAGGACCCTGAGGAAGCCTGGGAAGGGGAATAGTCTGAGTAAGTGCCTGAGGAAACGCTGTTATTCAGACAATGGATCTTATCTGCTTCAGACTCATCTGTCGACTCTGAAACAAAACACAGCAAACGTTTTCAGGAGGGGGTATTTGAAAGCTGCACTCCAGAAAAATATACATATTAAAACTGACACTATGGATATATATACACACACACACGTGCACAAATACGCGTGTAACACGTTTTAAAATCAGAGTGAAGCGCAGAACACCTGAAGCAATGTGTCTATCTGCGTACATTACACACGCTTCCGTCGGAAAGGTTGCAAGTCAAGTTAGTACCTTTCTTCTCTTTACCCAGAAGAACAAGTTTGGGTGGGTACAGCGGAGTCTCTGGCATGGAAGGGCGAAGCTCCCCTATCCTCATCTCACTGGCAGGATGTCCAAAGGCATCCTGAGGAACACAATAACGTAGAGTAAACATAGGAAACAGAATCCACATCACACCGCAACGAACAAGCGCTTCACAGCCTTCCCTTCGTGAATGTGACAACACACCAAAACCCCACCATAAGGGCAGTGTCGAATCACGCCGATTTGTCAGCTGAAAATTCTAATTAGTCCTACATAAATACTTGCAAAAATTATGGTGTTCATTCTGAAAACGAGGACAAAACAGATGGAACTTGCAAGATACATCAAGCCCATGTAAACATTTTTGATGAAGTAAAGGTCACAAAAATGCAAGCTGCCAGCAGAAATAAATAAAAATTTAGAATAAACAATTACTTTGTATTTCATGAGTAAGTACTGCTCACTCATTTAGTCGTGGCACAAATCCCTGCATAGATTCAGCTGTCCCTGTAGCTATATCTAAGTAGACTGACTTTGTCTCTAACGAGTTTTTTACTGAATTAAAATGATTTGGATTTCATAAACTTCTCATTGAGAGTTCAGCAAACCTCGACCTTCGAAGCCTGCCCTGCACACCTGTCCCGCTGTTCTAGCCACGGAAAATAACCTGAGCTAAACAGCAGTCTTAGAAAGCGATATTTTAAATCAGGACATGGAAATCAGGCAGACAGGACAGCTAGCAGGGAATGCAGACACAACCAGGGAACCCGTGGCATTTCTTCTCCCTGGAAGAACCTTCAGAAAGGAGGAAGACGCTGACCTGAAGACAGGCGTCCTGGGGAGACGGGGCAGGGGATGACCCTGACTGGAGTGACGGTACTGGTGACCCTGCCCTCAGGAGGGGGCTTAAGGACTGGGAGCAGGAAGAAGGAACAAGATGGGAAACCCACGCTGGTGTGTGGGCTCGGGGAAATGTCACGGCAAGGGAACCGATGGCGACGGGCACGGCAACACCGGGAAGTCGTGCCAAAGCCGGCCAAGATCCCTGCGGGGAGGGGTACGGGAAAGACGCATCATCTCGGAAGTGAGGGGGCGAGCTGTGGTTTCGTAACGAGGATGGAAGTTGAAGGAGGGGAGTACCTAGTGCAGAAGAGGAAGTTTTGGAGAGATATTAGGAGAAAATCGACAATTAGTAGCATAAGTGAGGAAGGAAATGGTTAGAAGAAATATATTTGGGAGGGAACTTGCACCAACGGAGGCAGTAGGAGGATCTCTGCACCCTGACACTTTGCTGCTAAAGGCACTCCAGGGATTTTGCAGAGTGAAGTCGATAAAGGAAAGAGATGGAATATTTAGAGAAACAATTTTACATGGAGTACCAAACCCAAAGCCACATTACTAAAATGTAAAATGCTACAATATTTCTTAAGTTTACTTGCTTTTGCTCATAAGGAGAAAACTTTCAGAGGCTTACTCTCCATTAACTACTGTTTGTAGTAACAGTGCCAACAGAGATTTGTAGAAGCATTTGCCATGTGATTTATCCGTGAAGTACATAATGATATTTATGCAACAGGTATTTTAATTCGTCTGCATTTGGTGTTCTCCTGGAGGTGGCACCATACCAAAACAGCAAAGAACAGGTATCTTCTCAGCCCAACGTGATTAACCCCCTCAGTGATAACCTTTAAGCAAACACAGCTACGTACTGATTTCGACGTGGTGTAAGACATTCGAGAGTTGACTCTCCCATGCAGAGAGCCCTTGCTGTGTGTGGTATTTCCTACGTAACAGCTTCAAGCCAGCAGCAGTGCAAGAGCGTATCTCCCGTGCGGCACAACCCTTTTCCAGTGCAGTGTAACAAACTTATCACCACCTTCTGCTGAGAAACCAAAGCGTGCGCAGCATTCGCAGAGTGGGAAGCTCTCCACCTTCGAAGCACGGTGCACGTGAAGTTTCTGGTTGTAGAGCCAACTTCTGAGTGTGGTCTGTATCACACAGGTGACTCTTTTGGAATTCTTTATTTTCTCTATCTTGAACCTAGAATCCCAATATTGTGCCATGAAACCTCCAAAAGTTATAAGCCTGAAATAAAACTACTTGCTGTGAGATAGGAAACCAGCAGTTCCATTTTGGACATCATGATGAACACAGATTTCTATTCCAGATGCACGATTTTATGAAGTTTTCTATGTTGTATTCTTTTTTTTTTATTTTTAGCCACTAGTCCAGCTATTCCAACAAAAACCAATACACTTTTGAAAGAACAGGTCTGGCATTTGTGACTATGCCACGAAAATGAAATACTCTGTGAAAAACCCAAAACTATATTCCATCTAATTCTACTCTGTTTAAGAGGACCTTCTTTCTTATAAGCCCAAGAACAAAAAGGTCACTAATAGGAAGAAAAAAAGAAAGTATTATTAACAGGACAAATTGCAAGAACAAAGGAAAAAGATAAATGCAATTGTGTTGTGTCAACTAACTTCTCACGACTAACCAGAGAAAGACATAGGTAGAGGACAGAGAAATGTGCTGAGCTGTTTCCCAAGAGAAAATACACGGTAAAATCCATTAAAATAACTGGAAAGAGCAATATCACCAGTTATCACGCTGATAACACAAGAGCATTGAATTACAGTCTGGAGAGATGGAATTTTTAACTTAACCTAACTCTTCAAGCCTGCCTGCAGAGAAGAGCAAGGCTCCAAACCGAGCAGAGCGGGGCTCCGGGCAGACGCGGCATGCAGAGGGCAGAGGAACGCCGGACCGCTAACGATGGATCTGTTCCAGAGGAACCGTTCAATGCACGCAGAGGGCTGGCAGCCCTTACAAACTGCAGAAGGCCAGGTCAATCTGAAGGGTGACAAGCTGGCTACAAAGAAACGGAGAAGCAAAGAAGTAAGTGGATTAAGGGAAATGTTACTCAGTGCAGACTTTCCCAAAGCTTTAATGAAAGAATAAAGGAGATCACAGAAAGTGTGGGAGCAAACGCAACCAGCCAGCCCTCAGAACATCTCTAGGTACAGGCAAGACTACCCGAGGCCCAGCATCCTTCCAGAGAATCACAGACAGCGGTGTGGGTCTGTAGCCAAACCTCGCTAAGCCACTCACCCACGTCACCATCTCCGCACAGAAAACAGCAGTACTTCCACCTCTCAGCCCTGTCTGGCCGGTCAGAGTCCCACTAACTAGTCTTCTCCTGACAAAATCACAAAACGAATTCTGTCTGCAGCTCAGCATGTGACAGGCAGTCACAGTTCTGGATATTTTGCTGTCTAAGCTAGCAATTATCAGACTGATCTAAACAAAATTCAGTCACCAAGCCAGGAATGCACGGAGATTCACCCCAAACCATGGGATTATCCCAGAAGAAAGCGGAGTGGAGGATCTTCCACCTGATCCTAATCTCTCCCACTCTTCTGGCTGCAGTGACAGCTTCCAGAAAGGCCACTTTCAGCAGCCATGAGATCTGAAGGTTGTCCCAAACAGGATGTTAATACAAGATATAACTGAACTGGTGGAAGGAAAGCTTCTGAATGCGGGTATGGAAGCTGAAAGGGGGAGAACGAAGGAAGCCCAACACACTTCCTACCTGCAGAGGTGATGCAGCAGCCAGCACAACGTTATGGCGCTGATGCAATGAGGTCTCACCTTTTCAGCTCCAGCAGGCAACCTCAAACATATGATAGAACTTTAAAAGGAGACACAAGTACATGAGGAATGGGGCAGAGGCAGTTTTTGGGACTCCACATGGAAAGACATTGTAAATCCTGGAAAATAAGCTGTCATCTGCAGGTAGGGCGTAATGACTATTTCTGCCACGTGTCTCTGCCTTGCATTCTGGTGGACCAACAAGCAGCTGGAGGAATGTACACATTAACCTTGCCTGCTCGGGTGATCAGAAATTCAGCCAAGGGGATGCATCCAGGAACTGACCAGAACTACCCATCACCAAGGAAATCAGAGATCCCCAGTTTACAAAGATGTATTTTAAAATGAAAACTTCCATTTCCAGTAGTTTAGTCTCATATGGGTAAGCCTGTTAGCTGACACGGTCATGTTTCTGCAAAGGTAAACTGCAGATGCTTACCCGACCAGCCATCAGTCACGTACTACAGAGGATGGGAGACCTTCCAACATTATCCTCAGTTACAAACCATGGAGAGGCTCTTGACCAGCTCACATCTTCAGCGTGAGGGCCGAAGTCTCAGTGGCACCCTGAGTTACAGCACCCTGATACGTGAATTGTGCTCTCCCCTCTCTGGAGGAACCAAGCTTCTGTTGCTCTCTGTCTAGCTGGAAACGCACCCAGCTGCCTACGGTGCTGCCAACAGAGAGAGTCTCAGGCCTTCTGCAAAAAAGCCACTCCATGGTCCATCAAACATAAAGCAGGCCTACATGCCCTGCGTATATGGGTTTGTACAGAGTGCCGTGCCCAGACACGCAATACCGCACCTCCAGAGTCCTCATGCTGGTGGGGACAGACAGAGCAGCAGCCTCAGGGGGTCCAGCAATGTCTTGGACTGGTTTTACGGAAGGTAGGCTTTATCGTGGAGCCAGCCCTGCATAACGCCCTTCCAATCCAGACACTTAGATAAGGTCCAGCAGAAGTCAAAGTAACTCAAAATGAACTTTAAGACATTTGACATCCTATCTCAAGAAAGGTCTCTTGTGAGTCTGACCTCCAGATGAGTAAATCATTACCTCCTTTCTCCTTTGACAAGCAGGCACCAAGGTCATAACCTCAGTGAAGGTCTTCTGTGCCATAGAGAAACCCAAAACACTACAACGAAGATATTTCTGACTCCTGGTGAAATACAGGTAATTTTGTTGCAAAGAGCTTATCAAGGTATGGACTTCAAGCAGATACAAGTGAAAAATCTTTAGCATGTATTCCTCCCTCAACCAGGAGAGATGGTCTCTGTGCATCTCACTAGTGGCAAACAGCTCCCACAACAGACCCACCAACGGAATCGAGTCAAGGTAGGCATCCTGGAGGAAACAGAAGTGTGGAAGTCTTCCTGGAAAGGCAAGGGCATCTTTTAAGCCAGTCTGAAACTTTCACTAAAAACGAACCAAAAAGGACACTCTTCTCCACTCCCACCCACCCAAACTCTCCCCCCCCAGCCCAAACCCTCGCAGCAACAAAGTCAGGAGTTAAACGGACTGAGGTGGTCTTTGGACTGAGATGAGACGCAGGGCTCGGCAGGGCTCACGCTGCCGAGGTGGTCGCTTCCTGGCTGTTGGCGTTAGCGTCTGCGTTGGGTCAGAGCACAACCACCGCCCCATCCCACGGCCTGAGCAAACCTGCTCGGAACGCGCACCAAGCACGGAACGCTGCAGGAGCAAAGGCTGCTTTGTAATCCGAAGCTGAGTTACGCAGAAGTATTTCCAGACATACCAAGAATATCAACTATAAAGCTCTTCATTGCTGATTTGGGGTATTTCTCACTGTTCTTCACGGAAGGGCTGCACAACGCACTAAGTTATCCCAGACTTCTCTCTGTTCTAAACGCACATCTTGCAGAATGACTTCGGACAATGAAGAGGTTTATTTTAACTGATGATTAATTAAGAAATAATTTGCTTGTTATAACTGGATTTGAAATGTAGCTTGTTACTCATTTCAGATGCTCCCTTTAATTATTTAGAAACAGTTCTGTGAAGAGATGTGTAAATTAAATGCAAGAAAACCCAAACGAGATGCGAAAAGAAACCACCTTATCTGGCCTCTGAAGATGAAAAAGTGAGCATTGCACCTGAAATTAAATTACCTTGTTATTAGAAACTGTCTTCAGTCTAAATCTATATCAGAACACACCTGCATTTTCAAACTGTATTTTAACTTGAGGCTTGAGATCATGTCTCCTAATTATCTGAGAAGCAAATGGAGCTTAATCATGTTTTATTTAACGTGTTACAACTGAAATCATGCTAAGATTAATCACAAAATCATCCATGCTTTTTCTAGTTTCCCATATCTCTTCATTATCTTCATGCACGAAGCCAAAGAGAGGACAACGTGTGCATCCTCCTGCTTCCCAGCCATCAGATCCTCCCCGTGTCATCACTTGTACCAACAACAAGAACCCTTTTTTTATTTTCTTTAGTTGACGAGACAGTTGTGTTACTAGTCTTGACTAAGTACTAGGGAAATTGAAATCTGAGAAAGTTCCACCATCCTCACTATTATAATGACAGAAGATGAAAAATACATCTTCACTGATACGATGGAAACAGTCATGCCCTCACATCAGCTGCTTGCCGTAGAAAATTAGCTAGGAGATTGCAATCACGTTCTCTAATTGCACTTCGGGAATTACCGCAGGGTCTTCAGCGGCTCAGCTATTTTTGTAGAACGCTTTTTGTGGTACTCATGCAATTAACAGTCCACGTGCATTCACAGAAAAGCTAGGCATGATTATTTTTCTGTTGCAGAAGCGAACGCATTTTTATCAAAGAACGAGACCTAAGAATGAAATCCGTCTTCAGCTCTTTCCAGGCTGGAACCCAGCACGTGGCCACAGGA